CTATCTGCAACCATCCAAGCATGGCAGTTGATTTCTAAGGAAAGGGCCAAGGAGGGCAGTAAACACTTAATATTCACCCATCTTTACTGACTTTGAGACTGTAGGCCCAGAGCAGACCTCAGCCAGTAAGAACAAGTGATGCTGGCCATTTGGTGTAAGCTGCCACCTTTGCTGATCCTAGGGCCCTAAACAGAGTTTGATTGTGGACTCCACCTTTCTGGAGTTGATCCTGCCTTCTTCTGAGTGTTGAAGGATCCAGCACTATCATCTCTGTTTCTTCTTAAGCAACAGCTCCTTACGTAGCAGGTTTTACTCTTGCAGTTTAGTCTGATAAAAGAATTGGCCTATTTTTAGTGGGCTTTTGTGCAAATGAGGGCTATGCCCCAAACACTGAAAGGGGAATCGTCACCAGTCATCAGGTAATGGGAGGGCATGCATTTGGAAGGAAGTTTGTATTTAGTGGGGAGGAGCTGGAGTTTTATTTTATTTTATTTCTTTTCTTCCACTCATGTCACCCTATCTCTTCCCTCTCTCAGATGCTGTTTGTTTCATACCAGTGTATCTAAGTTGCAAAAAATCTGTAGAACTTGCGAACAGTTCATTTAGTAGATGGGCGGATAATTGGCTCACTCTGTGGAGAAAAAACAACGATGAAACTTATCCCTACTTAACACTGTAAAGGAAATAGGACAGAAATGTTGGAGAATATCATAAGAAAAGGATGGGGAAGGATTTCTTACTCAAAACTTCAAAAGCACAAAACTAAAAAATTGATGAATTTGATTATATTAAATTAAGGACTTTTATTCACCAAATACCATGGACACTTTTTTTTTTTGGAGACAGAGTCTCTCACTCCATCACCAGGCACCAGGCTGGAGTGCAGTGGTGCAACCTCAGCTCACTGCAACCTCCACCTCCTGGGTTCAAGCAATTCTCCTGCCTCAGCCTCCCAAGTAGCTGGGACTACAGGCACGTGCCACCACGCCCAGCTAATTTTTTTGTATTTTTAGTAGAGATGGGGTTTCACCATGTTGGCCAGGATGGTATTGATCTCTTGACCTTGCGATCCACCCACCTCAGCCTCCCAAAGTGCTGGGATTACAGGCATGAGCCACCACACCCAGCCTACCATGGATACTTTTAACAGACGCACAGAAGATCAGAAAAGACCATTGCAATGTCTGAAACCAACAAGGATCTATTATTAGTCTAGACAAAGAAGGAACTCCTGAAAACAAGCCAAGAAAAGTATAGAAACTCTGTTAGATAAAAAAGCAAAAAAGTTGAAAAGGCAATTTTCAGAAAGAGTCCTTAAAAAATATGAAAATTAGCCAGGCATAGTGGCGCACACTTGTAATCCCAGCTACTTGGGAGGCTGAGGCATGAGAATCACTTGAACCTGAGAGGCGGAGGTTGCAGTGAACTGAGATCATGCCACTGCACTCCAGCCTGGACAGTAGAGCAAGTCTGTCTCAAATAGTAACAATAATAATAATATATTCTTCCTAATATTATTTAAGAACTTATGCCAATAAACTGCTAAACTGTGGATAGACAACTGATCTAGCTTCAGCTTTTATATATGTCTTTCTTTGGACTGAACAAACTATATCTTCTAGACATGTAATTTGGCACTTTATTTTAGAAAGGACTTTTTAGTAGAAAATAGTTACAATGCATGGGGTCAGTTTACCACCACCCCATGAGCCAAGCAAACTCAGATTCCTCTGCCTCAGTCTTCCAGGAGAATAACATCAGTGAATTGTTGAAATCCTGGATGATGCACCAGATGGACTTTTATTCATGGTCATTCATGAAACACTGAACAACTATTGAGTGTCAGGCATTCTGTTAAAGCTTATTGTTTGGGAAGTTCTGTCCCTCCCACCCTCGCTTTGTATTTTTTAGTAGAGATGGGATTTTGCCATGTTAGCCAGGCTGGTCTCAAACTCCTGACCTCAAGTGACCTGCCCGCCTTGGCCTCCCAAAGTGCTGGGATTACAGGCATGAGCCACTGTGCCAGATCTACTGTCACTCTTTATATAAACTATAATCTCAGGAAATTACAGTCATGCCAGCGATGGGATTTAGCTACTCTTACTGGTAGGAGCCATTCAAAGAATCTAAGCATGAACCTCAGGGTTCAAATTTGATTTTTCTGAATTTGAGATATCAGATTCTCTAGCATCAAGGGAGAAATGGTAATTATTTCACAGCTTGTACACAGAATAGGAATTTAGCCTGTTGCTGGGCTAATCTGTTCTCTTCTAATTCTATTTCTTTCTCTAGCTCATCTCTCATCACTAATCTCCTTGGGGGTTGTCTCAGTTTTACCTTCTTATTGGCCTAAATCAGGTTTCTCAAACTGGGTATATTGGGCCAAATAGTTGTGGATGTCTGTCCTGTGCATCATAGGATGTTTAGCAGCATTTCTGGCCTTTACCCACTAGGTGCCAGAAATATTCCCCAGCGTAACAACTAAAATTATCTCCAGACATTGTCAAATATCTTCTGGGTGCAAAGCCATGTCTGGCTGAGAGCCTCTGGCCAAGACAAAGAACCTGGAACACACTAGCACTTCTGTGTGAAACCCATTTTAGAAACATTCTTATTTGCTTTCAGGATACAAGCTGTAATATTCCCTTTGCTGCTTCTGGCAAATGTCTTAAATTAGAAGGTCAGAGAAGATGATTCTAGGTAACCACCTGGCCAAATCTGCCTGTGACAAAAGGAAGGTTTAAGCCCACTTTCTGAATTAATGCAGAAACAAACAAACAAACAAACAAAAAACACAAAAATGTAGTCTCCAAACTGAATTAATTATTTGGGCACAAGTGGTTTTTGGGGTCTCTATTTTACAGGGAAATTGATTCCTTTTCCATCTGCTATGGCCAGGTACGTGCTGGCTGCACAGGTGGAGGTGATGAAGAGAGAGTTTCGAGAGGTGAATGTTTGTTAGGATTCTGTCTCTCAAGCTTTGCCAGTGAATAAGAATCTTTTTTCTGGGTTTTGTAAGATTTTCAAAAACAGAACGATCCTTGTATTCTTGAATTGGTTCTTTTGACTCAGTAGCCATATGAATGGAAAAGCCTGTCCTAAAAATTAAGACCCATAGAACTAAAAAAAACAAAAAGCATGCAAAAGTGTTGAGGCCCTGACACAGCTCAACAAGACGGAATGAGGAAGTCCTTGGTTGTTACTGTTAATAGCCCAGCACATCAGAAAAGGTTTGTTGTTGATCATGTAAATGATTGTGGTGACGGAGGGCAGGGGGAATTATGTTTCAGTGTTCTTAGGAGGTTTTACAGTTATAGTTACTCTTTCTAATTAACTGATCTAGGACCAGGTTTAGGGCGATTAGATCCCTCAGGAGGGTCTTCTAACTTTGAACCAGAGGTTGTAAATCCTCTAGATTTATAGTGGAGAAGACAGAAGGAACTGCTTTTCTCTAGTTTTATGTTTTGATTGAGGGAATGGAGACACATAGTGGGTTAGAAGGGGAACTCACTGCCATGGGATATGGTGGAGCATGAAGAACTATGACAGAAAATGCTGTGGAGAAGGAGGATGTGGGAGGAGCTCCAAAGCATATGAAAGAAAAAAAAAAGCGGAAAGAGAAATGACAAGATTAATAAGTAGGAAGCTTAATGGTGTGCATCTCAGAAGAAGAGCTCTGTGAGCCAGGTACGTGTCGGCAGCCCCAGCTTCTCGAGGCTGAGACAGGCAGATCTCTTGATCTAAGGAGTTCAAGACCAACCCGGGGAACATAGCAGGACAGTCTCTAAAAGAACGAAGAAGAAAAGCTTCCTGAACGAAAGAAGTTCTCCCCTGGAGAACAAGGGGATCCTGACAAAGTGACTGCATGAGGACGAGAAGGTCTTTTTCTGAGGTTCATGGTGAATCCATGGGAGCATTAATCCCCACCATGCTTGCCATTCATGTGGTGTTGCTGTGTTCCCAGCCTTTTCTCACGACACCTCACAATGGCCCAGGGAAATGAGTCAGATAAGAGCCCATTTTACAGGTGAGAATAAGAAATTCAGAAGAATGGGGACTTGTTTCAATTTATAAAGGGAAATGCTGGTTTTCCTTATTTCATAATAACACATGGCCACCTGGGCTCAGTAGATTCTCAGAGTAGATTTTATGACAATAAGATCTCAAAAAATGATTAAAAATGGAGGCAGGCAGGGTGTGGTGGCTCATATGTATAATGTAAAATTCGCCGTTGAAGATTTGCTTAAATCTTAAAAATATGCCTCTTCTTTTTAGTGTTTTCCCTTGAACTTCCTTCTTCTCCGGATAAATTGATTGAATTTTTATTATTATTTTTTTTAAAGACAAGGTCTCACTATGTTGCCCAGGCTGGTCTCAAACTCCTGGCCTCAGGCAATTCTCTCTCCTCGGCCTCCCAAAGTGCTGGGATTACAGGTGTGAGCCACTGTACCTAGCCTGAAAATGTGCTAATTTTAACACTGTGTATCAGGAGGAGTTGGGGAAGGGGAGGAGCGTCCTGCCAACTTTCTTCTGTCATGAAAAATGAAGAGGACTATGGCTGGTACTCCAAGCTGGAGCAATGCCCTTCTTTATGAATGATAAAAGACACATGTAGACTTGGGCGGGGAGGACCCAGGAGGCCTTTCAGGCTGGAGAGATTTAGCCTGAACTTGTGATTTGGGCGTGGCTCCCTTGTGGCATCCTCCAGAATGCTGGGCAAATTGCTGGCAGATTCAGGGCCTTACACATAAAGCACAGGGCAGTGAGAAAGCATAGTGGTTAAGAGTGTGGGTTCTTGAGTCAGATAAACCTGGGTTTGAATGTGAGCACTTCTTGGCTGTGTGATTTTAGGCAAATACCTTACTTCTTTAAAGCCTGTTCCTCTTGTCTTTAAACTGTAAATAACAGTATATCAATCTCATAAGATTCCTATGAGGATTAGTGAGATCATCTGTGAACTTTACACGCTGCTGCCTAGAACATTGTGAGCACTCAATAAATGGTGGTTATGAGGGTTATTTTATTTCTAAAGCCATAAGTAGTCAAGTGTCATCATATGACAAATGGTTAAGGGCAGCAGTCTTAAGGTATGGCCCTCCAGGCACTTGGGAGCCCACGACAAACAGCTGTCCCGAGAGCTGGGAGGAGTTAGCCAACATCTGATCCCCATTATGCAGCCCTGTACCCCATCAGCCACCCAGCTCCAGTATCCTCTCTCATTCCCAAATGACCCAATAGACACATTAACTGGTCCCATGTTGCAACACGATTGGGATTTTTGCATAGGAGTTCGAGTTAAACAGGTGCAAGCCATCTTCTTCATTGGTTCCATAGCATTTGGCTATGTAAGTTTCATATTCTCTTGGCTTCCTTTATCTCCAGTGCCCAAGACCAAAGACTGGAATCAGAAAGAAATGGCAGTGGCTGGAAGGGCATGGGGGGAACTATCACTCCTATATGCCTTCCATGGGAAGTGAGGCTGGAAGGGTATCAGGTTGGATTTGTTGACACATTGATGATTCTGTAGGAGGCTTTGCCAATGTCTTATATTTTGAAATTCATGGCAAGATGTAAGAACAGATTTGGCAAGAAGAAATATTCTAACCTGAAAAATGGGACAGATTAGAGTCACTAGAAAAGAAGCACAACCAGATAGAAGGGAAAAGAAAAAAAGGATGACAGAATAAAGGGGAAAGAAAGAAAAGTAGAAAAGGAAATTACAGAGAATGAAATGTTCTGGTGCTGATAAAGCTTAAAAATTAGGAAATGATAATGATAATAATAATAATAATTATAGAAAGTAGGAATGAGAAGGTTAGAAAGCCTCAAACAAAAAAGTTAGGAAGGACGGGGTGTTTCAGCCATTATGTGATTTGTGTGATGCATCTCCTTTCTGTCTTTTTTCTTTTCTTTTCTTTCTTTCTTTCTTTCTTTCATCCATCCATCTCCTTTCTTTATGGCTAAAAAAGAAAGAGAAAAAAGAAGAGAAAGAATCCTGTGTGTCTGGACCTTTAGGTCTAGGGGATTGGACTATGGTCTATGAGACTCTTTCACAGCTAATAATCTATGAATTTATAAGTCATGTATATTTTCCAGATTCCTTATTTGGTTAAGACTTATTTGATTAAGTCATTGTGGTTTGTGTAACTTCTGATGAAAGCCATGTTGTGATGGATGACGCGAATGTGTTTGATTTTTCGCAGTTCTTGAAAAGTCAGGATCATAATGCCCTTCAAAGTTCTCAGTAGCTTATACAGTATGATCATGTTTTTAAAACGTTGACCAGCCTTCAGGGATGTCCTGGGATTAATGCTGCTTTTGTGGAGATAAGAATCTAGGCTAGAACCAGGTCCTAGAATTTTGTGGCACTCATTTGGGTGGTTCCTCAGTTTCCTTGTTATTTAGCTCTATGATATCTGTTTCTTTGGTGTCCAGGTTTTCCATTAAATACAGCATATCAGGAGAGACTCGAGAGCCCGCCACAATGTTGATCCCACTGATCTCTGAGGATGTTTCTGGGTCAACTATGAGAGCTGGCTGAGAGCTCATGGGGTCTGGACTTAGATTTCCCAGGGAGGTGTGGCTGGACTCCAGGAATTCCGGAAGGCTCCACCTTTTTAGAAAGGTATCACCAGAGTTTTCTTCACACTTGAATATGTTTCCCTCAGTGCTGGCTGAAACAGTCTGGGGACTGGGGCCTCTAGGAGGTGTCCCCTTCTCTAAAGAGGACAGGATGGATTTCACTGGGCCCTGCTGCTGCTCAGTCTTGCTTGGTTCAACCCCTGTAAACTCAGAGCTCAAGATGGAGGTAGCGGAGTCATGGTGGTAGCCGTCTGATGTGGACCCTAGTGCTTCAGCTGCTGTGACCAATACCTCAGGCACCGGTGGCATTTTGATGGGAGAGGTTCTCACACTGGACTGTGGGGTCAGGCTCTGTAAAGTGCTTGTCTGGCTGGTCTCCCTGATGGTGGACAGCTCTCCGATGCTGGAGTGCAGCGTGGGGCTTCCTTCTGGGAAGGAAGATTTCTTCCAGGTGGGTGAGGCCCTGTGGGGATTTCTTGAGGGCACATCCAGTAGATCCCTGGCTGGGCTGAGGTCATCTCGGGGTAAGAACATGGAGCTGTCACTCGTCTGCCTCCCATAGCTTCTTCTTCTGGGGCTGGAGGGGTGTTCGTGGGCACTCAGGAACCGCTTGACTCTTCTTATCATGGAATACCGATGGCCATGCTTCTCATAATCCCACAGCCACTCCTCATCAGGAAAATTGGACCCAGACAGCCTGAAACACACAACGATAAGATCCAGGTAGAGTAGCTTCAGGGGCCAGTAGCTCTGGGGGCAGAGTCTCAAAGTTAAGAGATGAGTTTGGTATTTTTATCTTATAGCTTTTCAAAAGGGGGCTTAGGGACTTGAGATAGTCTAGCAGAGATTTTCACACTTTTTGATTTCACGCCCCATTTAAACTCTTAAAAATTACTGCATATCCCAAAGAGATTGGCTTATATGGATTTTATCTGTTACTCTCTACTGTATTTAAAAGCATAACTGGGGAATGTCTGAAACACAAGCATGTACAAGCACACATTCCATTGACTGCTAAGTGATGACATCATCACATATCTTGTAGCTCTGGAAAATTCCACTGAACATGCTTGATAGAATGAGAATGAAAAAGGCAAATAACATGTTATGTTATTATGAAAACATTTTTGACCTTCAGGACTCTCTGGAGGGGCTTAGGAATCCCCAGATGTCCCCAGATCATACCTTGAGAATCACTGATCTAGAGAGTTGGACATTAAAAAATTATCTTTATCTATCTATCTATCTGTCTATCTATCTATCTATCATCTAGTATATATTCTTTTTCCCTTAGTACAGATGAATTAAGGTCATGTTTCCCTAGGACCCATCAAACCCTCCTTAACAATGGATCATAGGTAAATTCATGAGAGTGCAATGACCAGCTCACATTTACTGACTATATGCTAAGGTCCAGCTAAGCACTTCCTATGCATTGACTCATTCAGTTATCACAATAATTAGATGAGTTGGTATTGGTATTATTATTTACACTTTACAAATGAGGAGACTGAGGGCTGGAGAGATTCACTAAACATAAGTAGCTAGTGAGAGCAAATTCAGAAGGCTGGGTCCAAGCCCTGGTTCTTAGTCACTTTGGTGGAAAGCCTACTACACGTGGGGCAAGGGATGAGCTAGAGCCCAGGGCAGAATAGTGAGTAAAGCACAGTCCTTGTCCAGAGGTAATTCATAAACATTCCTGATAAATCTTTGCATTTATGCCTGTACAATTAGGGTTAAAAAAAGAGAAATAGGGATCTTGTGGAAAGAATATATTCATCCTGTTTGGGTGAACTTGCATCGCGATTGGGCTCCCCTTTTGATTAAGTTTGATGGATTGGCTTCCAAGAATTTCCTGCTGAATTTTTACCATTTAAAAAATAAAACAAATAATTCTACCATTTAATTAATTAATTGAAGACAGAGTCTTACTCTTTTGCCCAGGCTGGAGTGTAGTGGTGTGATCTAGGCTCACTGTAACCTCTGCCTCCCAGGTTCAAGCAACTCTCATGCCTCAGCCTCCCCAGTAGCTAGGATTACAGGTGTGTGCCACCATGGCAGCTAATTTTTGTATTTTTAGTAGAGACTGAGTTTCACCATGTTGGCCAGGCTGGTCTCAAACTCCTGTCCTCAAATGATACACCCATCTCAGCCTCCTAAAGTGCTGGGTTTATAGGCGTGAGCCACCACACTCGGCCAATCCTACCATTTTAAATCTCCTTTAGGACTGACATAAAATGAATAATTAAGATGACAATAAGCCTGTTTGGTAGTTTGGTCTACTCTGGCCTCAGATTACATAGTTCTTTGTCACACATCTCTGTGGGCTTACAACCTAACTGAGGTTTGAAGAACGACTGAAATCCTTGTGCTTGAACTACGAATGCTCATCATGCTAGCTCTGCGAGCAACAGTAACCAGCTACTCCCAGTCCAGTGTTGGTGTTGACATCTCTGGTGAAAAGATGCTTTACCTATCCTGGTGCATTTTATGTGACATAAAGGAAAACATTGGGACAGTATAACGTTGGTGTAACTTAAAAGGGCAAAGCAAACAGCCAAAGAAAATGTCATTTCTCATGTTTATGAATAAAATATGGGTGACTGAGATGATTAACTGGCGGAATGTCCCAGGACAGTGTTCAATTACAGCGCTGTGCTGTTTTTCTAAAGCCCCAGCAGCGCCCTTGGCTACCAGATAGCTTTCTGACCCACCCTCCACTGTGCGAGGCTCAGATTCTATTACATTGACTTGAGAAATGCAGACTCATGCTTCAGTGGCCTTGGTGACCCTGCTGGGTGGATTGCATTTGGTCAGCTCTCCAGTCACACTCTACTTAGTTAGGGAGGAGGACACCAGAGGAACCACAAGCGCACTTGTTCGCTAACACTGCTACTCCGTATATGCTCTGGGAATCAAAGACAATCTGGCCATCTCTCTGTATAGGACAGGCATCTGTCTTCCATTTGGGATCTCAACTATTTATTTGGGATTTTTTTTTTAACTACCTCTAAAGCATGCACTCTTGTAAGAAGGACAATCTTCTAGGAAAAAAATTTGTATTATTAATACCTCAAAACTTTGTGACTCAAAAGACAAAAACTTTATGTCCTAGTGTAGGGCATATGCATTATACCTTCAACTACAGCAAGAGGTGTAAGCCCCTGGGTCATAGATGGGGGAAAATGGACAAGTTGCAAGAAGCAAACTGCAAAATGTCTAGCGTTCTTGCTAACATCCTACTGATTCGTGACTGACACTGGGTAGGCCTGCCAGGAAGACTCTATTGTGCCTTCCTGCCTCGTAAGACTGTGGAGTGGATGCATGAGATTTCTCTGTTTATTCACCTGACTAAATTTATTGGGCACTTACCATGAACAATTTGCTGCATTAGCAAAAAAACTGCAAAAGCAAGTTTTTGAGCTGGGCTTTGACACTGAGTGGGAATTGGATAGACAGAAAAGGGACAGATAAATACAAATAAATAAAAAACAAATAAAGTAACAGGGAAGTTTAGGGTGTTTTTGAGAAATAGGAGCTACTTGAATCTGTGTGAAACTCACAGAAAAGTGTCAGGCATGGTCTGGAAAGATGTCCTTGGACTGTGCCATGAAGAGTTGTATACTAGGTTGCGGGATGTGGACTTTATCCTGGAGACAGAGAGCAGCTGTGGATTGTGGTTGAGAATGGAGGGCATTGCTAGGGTTGTGTGGTGTTGGCAGGGGTGTGTACGCTGGAAGGCTACACAAAAAGCAACGTTGATGACTGCTTTGGATAAGAAACATGACTTGAAAACTTTTCACTCCTTTAGTTTGAAACAGGGTCTTTGGAAGAACACTTGGTGATCTGTGCTCTGGCGGTAGTTTTACGTATCTCATGCTGAGTGATGAATGATGCCCTCCAGGTCTTAATGCTGTAACAGAGCAGTTGGAAAACTTCCCACCATGACAAACCTAATGACATTTCTTCTAAATGCTTCCTTGGAAGATCTCATTGCCAACACACAATGTTCATCTCCTTTCTCTGATAGCCACCATTCCCAATGTGACAGCGGAAGCTGTGGTTTAAGAACAAAATTGTTTAAAATACAATGCTTATTTATTTATTTAGAGACAGGGTCTCACTGTGTGACCCAGGCTGCAGTGCAGTGGTGCGATCATGGCTCACGGTAGCCTTGACCTCTTGGACTTAAGCGATCGTCCCATCTTAGCCTCCCAAGTAGCTAGGACTGTGGGTGTGCACACCATCCCTGGCCAATTTTTTATTTTTGGTAGAGATGGGGGTCTCCCTATGTTGTTCAGGCTGGTCTTGAACTCCTGGCCTCAAGTGGTGCTCTCGTCTTAGCTTCCCAAAGTGTTGGGATTACAGGTGAGAGCCACCACACTCAGCCTTAGAATAGTTTGAAAGGGTATTTCCCAAATGGGAGCTTTTAGGTGTAAATTTTAGGTTCTTTGTGCTTTTTTTTTCCTGTTCCTTTTTCGATTTTTAAAGTATCCTCTTACTCTAGGGTTAGTACAATCCTGAGCTTAATATAGTATCATTTAACCAACTGATAGCAGAAATATTATATGATAGAACAAAAGTACCCTTATTATATTCCTGTATATTAGAGACAGTCACCTGAAAAAGCTAGGTTTTATATTCTAGAACTCATTTGGACTGAACAAGGCAGGTAATTAGAGATAGGAGGACATTCATGGAAAGTGTCATGCAGCCATCAGTTTCCAGGGATGACATTTGAGAACCGTCTCTGTGGTGGGAAAAATAATTTATTTTGAGAGCTTGCAGAGCCAGGATTGCTGCCGTCTAGGCTGACACCAGCCAGCTGTGTCGCCTTTGGGGACTCATTTAACCTCTTAGAACTTAGCATCATCCTTGATAAGCTGGTGATAATAATCCTTTACCTGCCTTTTAGGTTTTTTGGAAGTTCAAAGACATTTGTAGGAAAGCTTTCAAAGTAGAGGATGTAAAAAGGACTCTGTCCATGACTGGCAAACTTTCAGAGGCGGTTTCCAAGTCATCACTGACTTCTCGTACAGGTTTGGAGGAGATGATAATGTGTGTTTGAAGGTCGCTCTTTTTTCTTCCTCAAGACTGTCCTTTTAAAAAATGTTACTACATCTAGGAGATATCACTTAACAATTAACACCCTCAAAAGGGATGACTTAGTCATTTAATGATAAGACTAGGGCACTGGGTGGGTGGAGAGGAAATATAAGAACTGGAAGAAGCTGGGTTATTTGAGGGAAGAAGAGAGGGCTGGTCAAATGGTGAAAACTGTGGAGACAGACTGCCCTCTTAATATTGTGGAGACAGACTTGCCTCTTAATATTGTTTTTTTGTGTGTGTGCCATTTGCCAAATATCATCAAATCCTGAAATATGTATTTATTGTGCAATAGAAACTATCACTACAAAAATATAGGAAACATGAGAATAAGAACAATTGTGTCACATATTGGGCTATTTTTGAAAGAGAGAAGAGTAAAAGAAGAGAGAGAAAAGGTTATGCTAAGCCAGTCAGGCTAGTTAGCTATAGTTGAGTCCAGAAGGTGGGAGAGCATGCATTACTTAACAGGTTAGATAGATGTCTGCATTAAAATTATTTTAATCTCAAGTGTTAATTAAAAATTAATTAACAAATTTCAAAACATATATGAAGTACCTAGGTAAATATCAGCCCCATGGTTTCCCTTGC